CTAGAAAGCCAGTGCAGTTTCTCTCCTCTTCTGCTGGAGTCTATGTTCTGTTGAGATACCCACAGTCCCAGAGGTGAATAGCAATGAACACAAATACCACAAAGAGTTTGGGAATAGTGTTACAGTCTTTTTAAGACAGTTTACTCTTCTAAAAGCTACTAAAGTATTTGAATTAGGATCTTTACTCACCTCTTTCTATATTTCTGGACTCTTTCCTACAAGGAGTCTAGTCCCTCAGAGATCTCAACATTTATAGACTTACTTTTATACCTATTATCAGTTATTTTCAACTCACTACAAAGCAATACACTGTAAAGTAGATATGTTTTACAATTTACAGACTGCTAACTAAGACTAAGAGTTTGGTGTGATGATCCCCTTTCCTTTCTGCCCAAACCACCCCGCCCACATTGAGTTTCATCTGCAGAGTCACTGGCTTTAGGCCAGCATGTGTTCTACCCTCTGTAATGGTATTCAGTGCAGCATCAGAGCAATCTGGAGTAGCTTAGTGACCAGGGTATGTTTCTGAAGCATTTGCCTCAAATGGTCATGTTTTCAGAAATTATATGTCACATCAGATTCTAAACTTCAAGTCATTACTCCTGATTTATTGTGTTTAAGCCAACTTACATTTCTTTGAGTGTTTTTTCTCTTTTCTGTAATTTGCTAGTGATTAATCCTTGATAGGAAATTATGAACCCAGACCAGTGACCCTTGTACTTTATGCCAAGGGTTATGAAAATGTAATGTTACATGGCTGGGAACTTTCCTGATAGCCTAAGAAAAAACACACAAACTAGCCATGCTCTCAAACATGAGAGCAGAGTTTGTGAGAAAATGAGGTGGATTAAAATTTATCCAGAGCTATATAAAAATGATGAAAAATAGAAGACGTTATTCCTGGCATTTAGAAGCCTAAATCCTAATTATCTTATTTAGTGAAATGTCTTTACTTAGATCTCACATTTTAATACTTAGAAATTACTAATATATTCAAATTTGTGGATTCCAATTGAGAAAAAAGTATTACCTCTTAGACTGAATCTTGTCTGTTCTGGAGACTTTAACAAAGTACCAGATGGGAAGCTTAAGTCAACAGTAATTTATTTTTCAGTCTTCCAGAGGTTGGGAAGTCTGAGACCAGACTGCCAGCAAAACAATATCTGAAGAGCTCTATCTTTTGCTTGACTGTAGATTGCTATCTCACTGTCTTTACTTGTGGTAAGGAAAGGTGTTCGGAATCCCTTGGATTTCATTTGTGAGAGAAGATCATTCTTCTTAGCCATTCACCTTCCAATTTATTGGGGATTTGGATTCCTAAATACAAGTTTGGGGGCCACAAAACATCCCAATATAATGTATACATGTAGCATCCAAGGATGACATTGACCTGTAAATGATATGAGAGCCCTTGAGGCAGTACTTACTTCATATTGGTCAGCACAGTATGCCCTATATATCATCTCATCTAATTCTCACAGTAATATTAGATATTATTACTATCCAATGCTGAACACTTTCTCTTTCATCTATGAATGAACTTCAGAGGGAATCACACATACATATTCATTCTAACTTTCTATTTACTAGGTAGAGTTTATAAGTATCACATTATTTTAAGAAATTCTATTTTATTCATTGTATAATAGTTTTGTTTAATCTGGGAGCCTTACATTGTAGACTCAAAATAACTTTGATTCCATCCAAAAATGTAAACTATTTCATAAAGTTATGGAAAACAAAGTTTATCCACTAAATGCTATTCTGAATTAATATGAATAAAATAATATGTAGGATTACCCTACAATAGTTTTATAACATTTCACATATCCTCAGTCTCTTTCCAGAATTTCCATGTTTCCTTTATATATCATGGTTAAAGCTAGGGTGTTTATATCTGTACTAAACATATGCAACTCTTTTTTTTCTTATTTCCAAAACAATGACAATTTATATTGCATTTATACTGCATTAGATATTATAGGTAGTCTAAAAATCATTTAAAATAGCTGTAGAGTTGTAACAAAAGTTAAATTTTATGTACAGATGCTATACCAGTTTATATAAATGATGACAAATATTCTAATTCCCATGCACTTTGTGTTCCTAGAACCTGGTAAAGCACAGAAAGAAAAACTGTCTATCACTTACTGGCAAATATCCAGTGTTGAAATGTTCTTCCTGAGCATAATGTTGTCCAAATTTTCTCATAGGCTAGCCACTCTTCAGAAAATTTATCTTGAACTCAATCTGGCAATGAAATATTTGAAACAAACTTCTTTAGAAGCTCCAAAGTCTTTCTTGACACAGTTCAAGTGGAAAATAGCCTTCAACTGAGTCACTTTTCCCATCAAGTTTCTGCCATTGTGGAATCATATAATGTTATTATGGTTTTAATTATGATATTAATAAAAGGCTATATTTATTGCTTATTTAACAAATTCTTATGGCTCACCACCTATAGTCTGTAATAAACTGGAATTTTAAAAGTTGAAATAAATAGTTAGGACTTTACTAGAGTTATGGAAGGTACAAAACACCAACAGCATTTATATATTTATGCCTTTTACACACAGTTAGAGTTGTGTCAATCTCCATTACCCTTCAACTAGATTAAGATTTAATCTTTTGAGCAACTTTAACAATTATTAATAAATGGACCTTTCCTTAGTACCTATGAAGAACCAAAGACTTATGTATGATTTATTGCTAGTTTGCAAATCAATTTCCTATATATAGGCACTTCATAATTTCCAACAAAGAAATAAAGGTTAAATGAGTTCATAAATTAGCCCAGAAGCAATAATCCACACTAAACCACAAGTATAATGGTCTGTGGAGAAGGCTCAGTGGTTATAGCACTTGTTGTACCACCATGAGGATCAGAGCTTAAATCCCCATCTATTATTTCAGTCCCCAAAGATGAAAACAGGGAATACCCAGAGCAAGTTGGCTAGGGAGACTACTTGAATTAGTAAACTATGTATAATATTGAGAGATTCTGTCCCAAAGAATAACGTGGAGGGAGTGTTAACGAAGATTCTGAAATCAGTCTTGAACTTCCAGATCTGCTCATATATACATGTAAATGTATCCACATACGCACATACTCATACACTTGCATATATGCAACACACACATACACACAAAGCAAAATGCAATGCAGATATATTCTGAACAAGTTTCTTGTCTTCATCACTCAAATTGGAAGAAGAGAATAAAAACGGAACTTTGTTTGAAATACATTATACTGTTCTGACTAGTTTAAACTAGAGGTTCCAGTCACTCACAGCATAACCACCAGATAGCCATGGAATGTTCATTGGACAAGTGGCTCACTGGGCATCAGTGATTTGACTCGTTCTCATTTACTATGGCCTCTGAGAAACTTGTTGCATCAATGTTTGCAATACCAGCAGCACAAAAATAAAATTACTAGAACCCAGAGATGCCTGAAATTGTATTTAAGAAATTATAGTGCAGGAAGTGATAATTGATCCAGCAGGTAATCTACAAAGATAACCAAACCAAACTAGTGGGAACTCATGAAATTTGGACCATCACCTGTGGAGCTTCCATGGGACTGGGCTAGGTTCTTTGCATAAACAAGACAGTTGTGTAGCTTGATCTGCTTAAGGTCCCCCCTGGCTGTAGGATCAAGATACATTCCTGGTGCAAGGCTTTTTGGTGCCCATTACCTATGGTGGGACAACTCGCACAGCCTTGAGGCGCGGGGTGGGGTGGGGGGGGCGCGGTGCTTGACTTGCTTCTACTGAATGTACCAGGCTCTACTGACTCCCTGTGGGAGGTCTTACCTTCTTGTAGGAGGGAATTGGGGCGGGGGTGGGTGGGTGGGGAGGCTGAAGGGCTGGGAGGAGGGAAGGGGGGATCTGTGATTGGTATGTAAAATGAATAATAAAAAAAGAATCAGAGCATATACAGCATGTGGGTCAAAATTTTACAGAGATATTTTATGGCTAACTTTGGAACCTCTGTGGTATACTCAGCCATTATTTCACAGGAAAAGGGCATTGGTCTTATCTTTAGTTGCTCTGGATTCAAACATTTTATAATAAAAAACCTCCCCATGATCAACATTTCGTTGAAACTATCAATACCAATGCTGCAGAGTTCTTGCATCATTTGTGAATTCTTCAATTATTTTGTAGAGTAGAGGTGGACTCTTTCCTATATTATATGGCTAGTAGTCACTAAGTTTTATTTGTAGCTGAGCCATTACTAAATCAGAATTTATAACTTTAATTGTTTGATTTTATTGAGGATTTCATCAACAAATAAATGTCAATAACATTAAGTAGCTTTTAGTACTATTCCAAACTCTTTAATGGTGATTGTTAATTGGCAGGGGCTTTAATAATAATATCCAGCTTTTTGCTGGTCTTTGAATCTAATCTAAAAATTGCATGTACAATTTCTAATGAATAAAAAGCTGAAAAGATGGAAGAATCACACTTATCTGCCTACCTATTGAATTCATGATATAGTTAGTGCATATAGTGAGAAAATAATGCTGGCAACTCCACTTAACAGAAAATTGTATGACATACAATTTTATCAAAACCCAGTATTTCCTTGAGCAGTAATGAATAAAATGTTGTAAGCACTCTTTGCATTGGCCTGAGTTTGTTGTTTTATACTGTATCATGTGGCAATGGCTAATTATCATAAGTTGTCTAATAAATGTGATGGATTGTCCAATTAACTCTTCATCAGCATCAGTTTTTGAAGATGCTGCCTATTGAAACCGGTGGTGGTTTATGACCTCCATGTTGCATATGTGTCTAATTGCTCCTTGGACAATAATTATTAAGTTTCCTGTGTCTCATTCAGTCATTTTGTTTTACAAATTATGATGCCACAGAGTTTCCCAATTCATTTGGCTTTACAACTATGAATCTCCCAGGATTACTAAATGTCTGTTGTAGAAGGTATGCATCAAAGAAATCTACAAGGAGATTATAGGTCTCTCTGTTCTGCAGGTTCTCCATCGACCGTCACACTGACTTGGAAAGACAGTTCAACATCAATGCAGATGATGGGAAGATAACACTGGCAACTCCACTTGACAGAGAATTAAGTGTCTGGCACAACATCACTATCATCGCTACTGAGATCAGTAAGTGTCTTTAGTTTGTTTCTTCCTTCTGTGAATGTATTTATTTGGTACTGGTTGATCACATGATAAATAGTCTGTCCTGTCTAGATATTCTGTTTTGGGATTTATTTCATTGTATCATCCCAACATAAAATACTTTACACTCTAATAAGTTAACAAATATAAATAATACATGTAAAAAGGAAACTTTTTTATATCTAAGTATTTTTGTGAATTTTCTTGTTATAGAACCATTAAACATCTTTAATAAAAATTCAATATGATTTTTTTGTGAAATCTGCTGTTTTATAATGAATCAGTTTGTGGTGTTACTAAAATAACACTTCTGTGTGTCTTTGATAATGTAGAATTTTTTATACTTAATGAAGCTAGTACAACAGCTACACAGTGAAAACTAATATGACACAATCTTTGCAATCTTGCACTTCACTAATTTTTTTTTTCTTAAACAATTGTGAAAGGGAGGATTCAGTTCCCCACCAACCACATAGAAAGCCAGGTATTGCAGTGTATGCCAGCAACTTTGGAATTGTGTGCAAAGACAGATCATGAGAGTTCGTGGACCAACTAACCAGTCTGGATGAAACAGCCAGTTCAAGCTCAGTGAGCAATCCCGCCTCCAAACATAAGAAAGAGAAGTGACTGAGGAAGACATCCCAAGGGCACTCGCTGCCCTTCACAGGTGTCTATGTTGGCAAGTGCACAAGTGAGTTCATGAGTAAGCGCGTGCACACGCACGCGTGCGCGCGCGCACACACACACACACACACACACACACACACACACAAGCACAATATGAAAGAGAACATTTTTTTCATTTGATTTCCAATCAAAATACACATTGCATAGCATTAAAATGTTTCAATAAAGACACGATAAAGCCTTCAAAACTGCACAAATTCAAATGAGATGATACTGAATTCTAGAAAGACAGTGGTAAAGAGAATGTGAAAATGAAGATAATACTAATACCTTTGGTTTTAATCCATAGCCAAAAAAAAGTGTTAAAAGAGGAGCATTAATAAAGCATCATGGGCACTTCTGTATACCACAGAGAGAGTGCAGAGGAAAATTAGAGCTATATACTCTAAAAGCCACTCTTTGTTCTCTGGTATCAAATGTGAAGACAAGGGAAGTGTCTCTGAGACATAGGGATGGACAGATATAGATACCCAAGTATAAAGAGGGATGCATTTGTGAGCTATGAAGAGGACGTCCTGGTTGGAGCCTTGTGAAAAATAATTGTATTTGGATGTGGAGGGGCACACTCATTATCCTAGCACTGAGGAGATGAGCGGAGGGAGATCAGGATTCTATTTAAACAGGGGCTACCTAATGAGACCCTATCCGAATAGGAAACACACACAAGAGAATCTAAATACAGAAGAACAGCATCTGTGTCTATTGAAAGCATATTTAGTTGAAAGAATGTCTGGGTCTGGGAGGACACAGGCCTTGGAAACTTCCTTCTATGGTTTCAGATATCATTTTCTCCCCTCAGGCCTTAGTGTGGCTGTAGTTTCTTCCCTGTAACATTAAGGGAACAATAAAACAAAGCACATCTTTTTGCTCGTCTGGGTTTATTAGAAGTCTTAAGCCCATTCAGAAGTGTACAGACATGAAATGCTTATAATTTATAGTGCTGAAGCGCCATTATCGCCTCAGCCCTTAATAGAGAAGAAAAAATATATCTTGTTGCATTAGCTTAATACCATGTAAAGCTTGAAAGAAAAAAAAAGATTCCTTTATAAAGGACATAAGCAGTAGTTACTTTTAAAAATATTTTTTTTTCATGAATAGAATACATTCTACTCAAGTTAACCTTAACCTCTGCTCCATTTTTAATGAGAATGATGCCTCTGCTTTAATATTCATCAAGGTTGTCCCAATTATAAGCAATCATGTATTCCGTTCTAAGGAACAAAAGTAAATGAATTCACCAAACAGGTGTTTAAGAAACATTTCAGGGCAATCTAGAAACAAAAGATTCATTTTCAAGGAATCTCAAAATGAGAAAGACAAAAGAAAGCAGATGTTCTGGGGCAAGGAGCTATTAACTCCATGAAGACAAGAGTACCAGAGCTCTGTCAGGGAATATGTACTTGGACTTTTTACTTCAATAATCATTGAATCTTTCATTCCTAACACCCATATTTTCAGTGTGGATACCGTAGGGAGTAAAATAGCCCAAAGCCCTGCGAAAGAGAACATTGTGGTGGGCTGAGATATCCATAGAGAGAGGTACCGAGGTGAGGGAAACCATGAATGGCTGAAACTCAATCTGTTCCATGATAGTGGGGACAAAAACATGCTAACAGAGACCTTTTCTTAATGAATTTAAGATGATAATAAAAATTATTTCATAACAAAGATGAAAAATAGCCCTCCCTGTAATAGTGAAATATCTAGTTATGTTTATAATGATTATTATTACAAATATAGGAAAATTTAACTTTAAAAGAATATTAAGAAAATAAGAGTTTTTGTAAGCACTCAGATTTGTCTCTGACAAATGTTGAAATATGAGTCTCTCTCTCTCTCTCTGGGTGGGGGGTAATAAGTGTGGGCATATCCACCTTGGCTAGACTGTCTGGCTAATGCCAGTGAGCTTCCAAGACCCTTCTGCTCTGTCGCCTGGTGCTGAAGTTGGGTTCAGGAATTTCGAATTTAGGTCTCCTCCATTATATAGCAAGCAGTTTACTCATTCACTCATGTCCCCAGACCATTTAATTAAACCTCAATGACTTTAATTGGCTCATTTTAGCCAAGAAAAATAATTTAGGTAAAATTGTTAAATGCTAATCTATAAATCTATTGTCAGTCTGATTTTTTTTTGTATTCATGTTCTTAATACCAACAAAAATGAGTATATATGTTGCTAGAGTTTTCCTGCCTGGCCCACAGTCAGGACAAATCTTTGTCACCCGCCAGTCCCACAGCTGCTCAGACCCAACCAAGTAAACACAGAGACTTATATTGCTTACAAACTGTATGGCCGTGGCAGGCTTCTTGCTAATTGTTTTTTTATCTTAAATTAACCATTTCCATAAATCTATACCTTGCCACGTGGCTGGTGGCTTACCGGCGTCTTCACATGCTGCTGGTCATGGCGGCGGCTGCAGTGTCTCTCCGCCTCAGCCTTCTGCTTCCCAGAATTCTCCTCTCTCCTTGTCCCACCTACTTCCTGCCTGGCCACTGGCCAATTAGTGTTTTATTTATTGACCAATCAGAGCAATTTGACATACAGACCGTCCCACAGCATATATATTTTTAAATTTTGCCTGAAATGCTGGGTTAGGCATAAATCTCAAAACTTTAAATGTACAATTAAGATATCCATTTTTAAAATCATGATGTAAAGTAGAGATAATAGGATCATCAGAACTTAAAAGAAGTGGAATAACTGTGAAAATATTTTAGAGAGTTGTTTTCACACAGTTTGATTATGAAGTATCTAATCCAATATTTAACTTGAAAGCTATAGACCAGAAATATTTTTCTTAGGAAAAATATTTAAAAAGATGTTTGTTGTATTTGTCTAACATAAATAAGAAAGCCATCCAGGGCAATAGAACAACATAGAAGAAGGTTCTAATAATGGTAGAGAAATATTCATTTCCAGGAGAACAATTTAAAATTCCTGTCTGGATGCCATCTCATCAGACAAAAAGATTTAAACAAATGAAATTAAGCTAAGAAGTGGATTTTAGGGAAGTCCATCTGTTACCTCTTTTGTGAATGGAAATGTCATCCTTTATCCTCTTGTGTCAGATTAACTTAAATGAGGCCGGATGGTTCTCTGTGTGCACTACCAAAGTATTGCAGTGATTATAGATTGAGCCTGCCATCCTGATCAATTGGCATATCTCATGAGACTCATGTACCTGCAGTTAGATGCCCATGTGTTAGCAAGAGATTAGGCAGAAGTGCTAGATCTCTGCTAGCAACCAGCCCAGCTCCAGAAACTATACCACCTGGCTGTTGTTTATCAGAACAATAAGTATTCATTGGAATTATAATACGTTGAACAATTTAATAATGGGATGGAATTATATAAGTCTTACAAAGCATTTAATCCTTAAATCACTCTTTGAAAGTAGGTACTGCTATAGAGATATCCCAGACAGTGTCACTCTAACCTGGCTTAAGTTATTTGTTCTGTGTTTTGTACACACCAAAGGTTGGGGTATAAAAGAAAGTGCAAAATCTTCAGTTGGACCTTCTTTCTTCCTCATATACTGCTCAATTTGAATTCTTGTCACTAATACCTATTTCCTGAAGTGAGCTAAGTGATTAGGTTGTCTCCAGAGAAAAGAAAGCATGAGGATCGTTGGTATACACACAATTATATATTATATAGTATACATATATATTCATATATATATATATATATATAACATATATTTACATAATTAAGCATATTACGGAAAACCAGATCCCTGAGCATACTCAGTTATGGTCAATTCAAGAAGGAAAAGACAGTAGACATGTTTAGAACATGCTGAAGTCAGGATCAATATTCACATATTCAAATGGTTAAAATGGCTGGCTGGCAGAATTTCTTCTGGGATTGTCTAGCTTGGCACCATGGAAGACAGCAGACAGGAATGTCTCTGGGCATACTCAACTTTCTTCAAAACTTTTTCTCAGAAAGAAAAAATGAAAGGACACTTGAAGGCATTTAATTTATGCAATTATACCTATATTTCAAAATAATAATACATATCATAGACAGCCCTTTCTTCCAAAGTGCAAGTGTTTTCACATAAAAGGCCCTGACTTGCCTAACAATTAATGCTTTGCAAGAAAGAACAATTGAATATTGTCAGAGAAGACTATTCTGCTCTAGAATTTATGAAATCTAGAATTTATGAAAAAAAATGAAACAACAAAAAAGGCAGAGGTTTGAGACTTTTCAAACTAGAACTTTAGCTCCAAATTAGAGATTGGAGAAGAGATTAGAGGACACATTGTAGTATAGTTTTAGGGGACTTTGGTTT